GGAAACAAGACTTCAAGACCACGGCCACACAGCCCGGAAGACCCACACCAGCCATCAAATGAAGGTTTGTTAGTTTAACATCAAAATGTCCCAATGTTCACAAATATTAATAACTTTAGAGGACTGAAAAGCCCTGTTCCTGGATGTGTGCCCCTTTGATCTGTCAAGGAGTATCCCAAGACATTTAGGGCTTCATAGGTAATGACCAGCATAATGAATTATTCCCAGAAACTCACTGGTGCCCAGTGCAGTGTCCATAATATTGGTGTAGCACTATTGTATCGTCTCTTACCTGCCAACATACAGGCAAGCGCATTTTGCATGAGTTGGTGTTTTGGAGTACCTCTCAAGGAGAGCTTCAAGTAGAATTTGTTGCAGTAATCTAACTTTGAAACAATAATGATGTGAGTAACTGTCACTAAAGCTTCCTGCTCTAAGAAAGGCCCAACTGGGGCCCAACATATCAGCCCAGTTGGACAAAGGCCTCCCAAGCAGACTTCCAACTGCTATTCCATGTTTCTTTGGGGAATTAGGCTATTTATATATTATTTATTTATGGTCCTTTTATACCATCAAGTAAGAGGAGCACAGCATGAGTTCCCTTCCTTCTATCCTATTTTTGGATTGTGAAGGAGGTAGTTTTACCACATCTAGTATTTGAAGGTTATGAGTTTAGCACCTAAACTCTGTTTCTAGCTTTGCCAGATGGAAAAGGAGGTTATTCAATCCTGCCTTTCACCTTCTACCTATGTTCATTGTCTTCTCAGTGCTTATTCTTTCTCAAGCTTAGCCATAGAACCTAGTTAGATGATGCTTGGCTTAGCTAGGTAATGGGAAAATTCACTTATTGCTGGTTGCTGTAGCCACACCACACTGGAAGCAACCATCTCACCCCTTTTGCCTTCTCAAACAGGCTGCCTTGCCCTTCAACACTTTTTTTAGTTACTTTTGGTTACATTTTATTACATTTGTTGGAAGAAGTTATTATCATTAATAAAAACAGTCAAGTTTTTTTCTGCAGCTGGACATTTGTTCTGGCAGTAGTGGTGTCTTAATATTCACAAGAACTAGTCAACAAGTACTGTGCACAGTCCCTTCTCCTGAAGACAAAAATGGGTTTCTCCTGAACTCAGGGATGTTGTACTTCTGGATATAACCTCACATTGACAGCATTGTTACATAATGTGCATTGTTTCAGTCTTCAGATGCTGATGGTCCTTGAAGCTCTAGTGCCCTGTTATCTGCAGAAACTTAAGAAGCAAACCTCCCAAGTGGAAACCGTGACAGCAGCTCGAGAAGAGATTGCTGCTACAGCGGCTCTTGCAACATCCTTGCAAGCACTCTTATACAGTGTGGAAGTTCTTACTCGGTGAGCTGCACCACTTGCTTGCCTATGACCTTGCAGAGCCAAGGGGAAAGAAGATGAGAATTTCATTTTATGTTCCTACCCATGGTGAAAAAAATTGTATGCCATTATAGGTTTGTATAATGCACATATACACAAGAACAAGAATTCAAATGAGCAAAGCTCAAATCTTCATTATAAAATACGGAAGGTTGCATTTGTCCATTTCAAAAGTAAATCCCCACCAAATCTATTTCATTGAAAATTAGGGGTGAAAATCAAATTAGGATTTGATTGACTTTAATCACAGATTAATTAATACAGATTCAGCCTTTGCTATCCAGAATTCCTCTTCCTCCTTTTCTAGAAAGTAACACAATGACATTTAATAGAGATAAATGCACATAAAGATAAAGAATCCCTTAGGTTGAGCTTGACTCTTGGTGCCTACATGGATATGTATGAGTTTTGACATTTTGGAATTGCCTACTTATGGGTTGGTTATTTGGTTATTTATTTATTATTTATTTATTTCCAAATCTGGCCTGTAGCGCCACAATTTCCTGGAGATCTCCCATCCAAGTCTGTCCCTCTTAGATTTTCCAAGAACAGCCAAAAATACAACTGTAACACAAAAGGGATAAAGAGGCTGCATCAACAAAAATAAAGTTTCCACATCTAGAGAAATAATAGTTCTGCTTTATTCTATATTGTCAGACTGTACTGTGAGTTCTGTGTTCAGTCTGGGCACCTCACTTAGAAGGAGTGAGACAAGCTGGAACAGATTCAGAGCAGGCCAGTGAGGGACTAAAAATTAAGGCCTATGAAGAGAGATTGAAGGAACTGAGAATGTTTAGCTTGAAAAAATTGAGAGAGGATCTGACTGGGTTCTTCAAGTACCTGAAAAAAAGGTTGCATTGAAAAAAGTGAAGACCTATTTTCTATTGTTCCTGAAGGCAGGACATTGAATAATAGATTTAAGATATAGGTTGGCTAATTCCAGTTGAATCTTAGAATAATTTCCTGATGCTAAGAACAATCTGACAGTGCAGTCAGTTAGTGAGCAAGGTAGTGAACTCCTCTTTGTTGGATGTGTTTAAGTGGAGGCTGGACAGCCATCTGTCAGGAAAGCTTTAATTTGGATTTGAGCAGAGGGTTGAACTTGATGGCCTAAATGGCCTTTCCAATCCTAAGATTCTCCTACTTCTATCATTACTATTCTACTAATTACTATGCTACTACTACCGCTACTAACAGGCCAATGACTGCACCTCAGATGAGTCGCTGTGATCAAGGCCATAAAGGAACCACTACTGCTAACCATACTATGTCGGCTGGAACAAATACCAGGTATTTAACAGGGGCTGACCTACAGCTTGTTGCTGAAACCTTCAGATACTAATGTTTTTTGCATAGTCTATATATATTGTACACAGTTGCATAGGAAAAATGAATGTTGCCCAGATAGGAACAGAATATAGGTCTTACCTTATTGGATCAAATCAGCAACTGGTATGGGTTTGGTTTGGTTTTGTTTTGTTTTCAGCAGAAGCCAGTCAAAAACTCACAAGAGGTTGACAAACAGTACATGATAGAGAAAACAGTCATATGTCATAATTTGTTTCTATCATTTAGTAACCCGAAGTGCAATTCCTGTGAAGATATCTCCCATGAAAACATGCACATATCCAGAGTTCTCACAACCTTGGGGTGAGAAGAAACAGACTACTGTATGACAAATGAAGTTAGTCTGAAACTGGAACTGATGTTGGAGCTTGCAGCTGCCTGGAGGGTGGTCTGAGCCCTTCTCATTGCACATCAAGACATACTAAGCTGGGGCAGAAGACTGAAGTAGGGGGACTTCTGAACTTCATTCTTTTTAGATGTGAAGGCAGAATTCACAAACATTTCTCTACATCTTCCTGTCAGCATTAAGATAAAGGATGAAGATAGAGCCATATTGTCATGCCTTCACCCCTCTAGTTCTGAGTAGCTAGAGGCAGGAGCTTCTGAGTTGACCTTGTGATGTGTTTGAGATATAAGCCTTCTGTCTGAGAGAGAATAGGGTTCTGGCAATACCAAGCTTTGGGTTGTCCGCCAGGGCTTGCCCTAGCATGTCAATAGCTGCATACAGTGGTTCTCCACTGACAGGAGGGTGTTTGATCTTGTAGAATGTGGAGAAAATTATTTTTAATTATTCCCCCACACACTTTTCCTCTAAGCTGGAGCAGATGATGGAGTGGCACAGGAAGGAATATGTGAAAATTCTCTTCCTCTCCATTCTGCTTATTGGAAATCTACACTAGATTAAACAATATATCATAATTCGATAATACTCATGAAGAGCATTAGGAACTAGAATTCTTTTTTTAATTACAGTGGTTGAAAAGCCACTGCTATCCTTTATTCTTTCTTTTAAATAATTTATCTATTTAATTCTTTTAAATAATTTATACCCACCCTGGCAGCTAATGAATATTGATGCCTATGAGGCAATCAATTTAACGAGTTCCACACAATAACTTTACATTTGCTACCTGACAAAAAGGCCTCATACATTTTCTTCTGTTGAAATTTCACTTGGACTTACTTCCAGGTATGTGTGCTTCAGTGACATGCTAGTGTTTGTATAGAAATGTTTTCACATCAGAAAGCAAAGCTCTTCTCTTGTGGTGGGGAAACTGAGATACTGTTTTCCTCTGGGCATGCCCATACTGCCAGGTGTATATGTATGTATATATATATATATATATATATATATAGGTAAATACAATGCTAAATCGAGCTTTGTGTGTATAAAGTCCAACATACTGCCAGGTGTGTATGTATGTATATATATATA